GTGTGCATTGTGATAACAATGGAGTTAATTGCCTCTTTCGAGTCTAGGTATAAACGACTAAAAAACAATAATGAAATTGCATAATCTGTTCCTTGTTGCCAAAAGATGAAGGGAGGACAGATGCAGTAGGAGTCTGAATAGATTAGTATTTTAAAATGTTTTTCTTTACAGTAATGGGGAGGAGGTACAGTGTGTCTCATATTGTACCGCTAGCTATGAATGCTGCGAATAAATATGGAGAAAGTGGAGAATGTTCTTTTTCCTCTTGAAAAAATATTGAAATGTGAAAATGCAAGTATTGGTGGTGTTATATATTCCTAATTTTCCAAAAGTAAGGTGCAGAGAAACTTTTTCTCCATTTGCTTTTCTTTCCTCTCTCCTCCCTTCTGTCCAGCTTTAGTCTCTTTATATGATACTGTTTCATGTGCAGTCAGGTTCCTTGTGGCTATTGTGGGGTTTTTGCACAGCAACAAGAAGGAGAAAACATAAATAAAGGAAAATGTGATTATGGAATCACAGATTTTTATGTAGTTTAACTGGACTTCAGGTTGGCCTTTTTAAAGCTGAGAGATTGTCAAAAACAAGTTGTCCCTGTCCCGCTGTATGTGGACTTTAGGCTGGAAATCTAATTCTGCTACTGACCTATGGCTTGACTTAGCGTAAACATATCGCCTTATCTTCTCTTCTCCCATAATTAGACAGTCCCTGCTCTGAAGAGCTATTTCCTATGTGTTTGTGTCTAGTTCAGTGTCTAGTTCAAAAGGTTCCCAATTTTGATCGGAACCGTCAGGTAACAAAAAGAATATTCTTTGAGTACCTAAATCAAAACATTGTAGTAAAGCTTTATACTTAGCAGCAAACCTGGTGCTTTCACAGGCAAGTGACTTTTTCTGTTAGTAAGTTCAGTTCTCTTAAGTTGTATATTAAAAAATAAAATAATAAATAAAAGGCCAGTTCTCCCTGATTTAGGGAAATGTACAAAGGTGGCTGCCCAGATCTTAGGGGTCTTAAAACAAGCCCTTTTTCAGATAAAGGAAAAGCTCTCTATTTGCTTTTCTGTGACAAGTGACTCCCAGGATTTAACTACAAGTACTCGGTCAGTCTCTCCTATCCTATTATTCCTGTAACGCTCTGAAAGTAGTATAGGTTAAGTGAATTCAGGTAAACTCTTTCAGTTCTAGACTTTAATTGTTGAAATAAGAGACTGAAATGGATTGAAATGCCCTGCAAATTTGCTCTGTTGTCTGGGAGTATTTCTGCATCTGTACATGAGGTCAGAGCAGGGAAACTGGGCAAATTGTGCTTTTGAATCCTTGCATTTGAGCCCTGCTTGAGTCCTTGCTTGTGGGATTAGAAGAATCTTGCTACAAGGAAGGCAGCAGTGGCATCTGAAGAGATGTTTGCATAGGCTTCAGGTTTCAGTAACTGCTGTACAGGGTATGTGGTGTAGTGTGTGATTCTCTTTGCTGCCCTGCCTGGGGCTGTCTCACTCTTGTCAGATGCTGGGTTTAAAATTTGCTCCAATTTTCAGATTTAAAAAAAGGGCGTGGAAAGAAGCTTGTCCTTAAGGTCTGCTTTCCAGGTAGAAGTGATTTGTGCCCTATATTGGGGGGAGTGAGAGAAAGAAGAGAGTTCTGTGTAATGGGGATGTTGTGGGTTGCTATTTTAAAGGATGATGTTATACTTCTCTTAACCAGAGAAACCAAGCAAGGAGTACGTTTCATCTATATCTCTTTACTGGAGATAGCCCGACCGAAGTGCTGGAATAGATTCTGTGAACCATTTTTGTCCTCTATCTTGTAGATCATCATCAACAGGAGAGAACCCATCATTAGTACTGATTCAGATCCGAGTTATTTTTGAGGGCTGGTAACTAGTTACAATCTCATTTTCTCAGTGATAGGGCACATCAGAAATGAAACCACTGAACCACAACAGTGAAGCAGCCCAGCTGTTTTACCAAATCCTTTAGTCAGAATTTCAGAATTAGCTGAATTCACTGGTTCTGATTTTAAATTAAGTAATAAAAAGCGAGCTGAAAACTGAAGCACATCAAACTGGTTTCCAAACTGGGTAGTTTGTTTAAAAATTCTTATTTGATGGTCTCTTCGGAAGCCACTAGCAATGTCTGTTTTTTCTCTAAAGAAGTGCTTTCTGAGAGATCATGGCCTTGTATAAAGGAGGGACGGTTGTTAGGGAAGTTAATGCAAATGCAGGGTTTCCTTAATGTCAATCTTTGATGTTTTAAGTGCCAACTCTCCAGCCTAATGCAGCAGTCATAAAAAATAGAGTTTAAAGTGCCCTGCTGAAAGATGACATCTGTAATTGTTTTGTGGAGTTGGAAGCTGACTCACTGGGGGCTTGTTGTGAACAGAGTGCTTCAAGGCAGTCGCTAATTACTCCCAGTAGTACCTAACCACTAGTTGATTCTGAACCTGCTCTATTCATCTGGATGATTCCGTAGGTATTGACTGTGGTGCAGCCAACAGTCCCCTTGTTTTCAAATCCTAAATGGGACTTACAGAGGCCTTTTAGAGTGTGTTCAGCTGTGCAGGCTACTTAGTCCTGGAGTTAAAGGAGAACCATAGATTTCTTTTGCCTCCAGCAAACCTGACAAAGACCTTGCTGATTTAAAACCTGTCTGATTATTTTACTTTCTGGGATGAGAAGTGAGCACTGAATTGTTCGAAGAATTGAATATATCTTTTTATATTTATAAATATATATATATTTGGTAATGATTGTCTACTTTCAGTGAAAACGAGGCTGGTAAATGGTGGCTGTGTTGGTTACTATGCTAGTTTGAAGAACCGAAACACCTGAAATAATTTCAGTTGCTGCTGAAGTGGAAGCTTGGAGTTAAGCCCAATGCAATGGATGCATTTTTGTTTTCTCAGTAGCTGTCGTTTATATTTGTGGATCAACCTGTGAGTATGGCCTATCCCAAACTGTTGAAATAATTGCTAATTCTGAGATACTTAGTCACAGCATCTTTAGAATTGATACCCTTATGCTAGTAAAACAGATTCCTGTTTTTATTCTCATTAGCTCTAAGGGTTGGAGTTCTGGATTAAGCTTTTAATCAGGAAGCCTTCAAAATGACTCCCAGCTGAATGCTATAAAAGTATGCAGGGGCAATATTGCTGCATGCCTGCCTTTTTGTTATTTGGCTGTTTCCCGGGCAACTGCCGTTAGCCTTTTTCAGGCATGTTATATTGGGCTAGACTAACCTTGGCTTGACCTAGTTTGGCTGTTCTTGTGTTTTTTATATTCCTATGACTTCACTTCTGGTTTGGCACCGATTTGAATCGTTACCGTTCTTTTAACGGCAGAAGTATTTGACGGTAATGGAACGCACAGCTCTCACCCACGTGAGCAGGGGGCTGCGTGCTTGCAAGGGAGACTGTGCTTCAGCTCGGTGTTTGTGTGTTTACATTTACAAAGCATGTGGCCATACCCCCCCGAGCTCTGATTTTTCTCTTTCTTGGAAAGCTACATGGGACCTTGCCCGATCAGTACTTAAAAGGCATGATCTTTAGGAAAGGCTCATACGCAAATACAAAGCAGCAATAGTGGTGGATTCATGCTGCAGAGGGTTCCCTAAGAAGGCTTCTGCCAAGTAGCTCTTCAGATGGCTGCCGTGATACTAAAGTGGCATGCTCTCTCTCTGCAGTGCGTCTTTGGGTGGGAGGCAGAATGAATGTTAGCAGGTGCAGAAAGACAAAATAGGCTCGTCTGATAACCCTTTTGGTTAGTACTTGTCAAATGTTTGCTTCTGTTTATCTATGCAGCTATAAAAGTGGCAATAAAATAGCATTCAGATAAACTTTATGTGAAGTTTGCAGTTCTTCCACTTGAAGAAAGCTATTGGGAGAAGACAGTTGAATTCTGTGACTTTGTAGAAAGCCAAACTGGAGTCTATTGTGTAGCAAATGAAATTAGCGTGCTTAATTTCTCATCAGTGATTGTATATACCTTCTGCCTAGCTGGCATGGCACAGGAGTACAGCTGTGCTGATTCCCCTTTTTTAAAGGGGTCTGAATTGCAAGTTGGAAAAAAAAAAAAAAAAGCAGTATTGACCCGACAGATCTGGCACGCTTGTTATCTTGTCTTTGTTCTCATGTCAGGCCATACTGCGGAGAAAATCTTGAAGAGAAACATCTCTGTAGCCTAGCAGTCTGCTTGATTTCCTATCATTTTTATTTTAGCCTTCTTAGGGCTCCATGCAGATGTTAAACACCTAATTTGTCCTCTGTCTAAGATCGTAAAATACTGGTATAACATTTTTTTAAAAGGGAATGGGGTGGGAGAGGGAACTTAGAGCCGCAGCTGCACCTTGGTATTTGTCCATGTCATCCCTGTCCTTGACAGGGGGCAGGCCTTGGCTTTGCAAACCGTTTTGAAACCATCTTGGAGTGAAAGGAGGGAGATGCAGGGAACGAGGTATGTGGATAGCAAGAGTGGGGAGAGTGCTTGAATTAATGAAGAATGGATGTTTGGTGGTTGAGATGCTTGTCTGATGTAAAGGAGAGCAGCATTCAATCTGCAGCATTGCCACCAATCCTTCAGCATCTTGGAGTTTTGGCTCCAAACCAGGTCGAGAAAATGGAGATAATTGTCCTTCCTTTGCCGACTGAGTGGCCTTAACTTGTGAACAGTTGGACACAGACACAGCATAGAACAGTGGGATTTTAATCACTGTTAGATCTTTAAAAATGATGGTGACATGGAAGACTTGAAAGTGAAGAAAATGCTTGTAATTCCTGTTGTGCCTGCCAATTTGGGATGATTTGTCTGGCAGCGTGCTATTCCTCCCTTTATTTTTACTTTACTTGCCTTGCTCTAGTAGTCAGTTATCCTTTAAACACAGAAGACTTGCTGATACCAACAGTTTAGCCAAAATTTGTATTTTTCCTGGGCCATTTAAGAAAATCACTGCCCCTTCTGATCTGATGTCATTTCAAATGCTTGATTTTTTTCCTATTATTATTATTTTTCAGGGTGGTAAAGGAGGAAATCTCAGATGACAATGCAAAGCTACCATGCTTCAATGGAAGAGTGGTGTCCTGGGTATGTTAGCTTCTGTGTCTCTATGTATATGTTGATTGATGTGGTGGGAACATGGCAGGGTAGTTGGTACAAGGATTCTGAAGTGCCTTGGAGTATTGCATCTCAAATTACATGGAAGCAAAGGTTTAGTTTTTCATTCTGTCTGTAACATCCTGTCATTTCATTGTCTGTTTTAGAAAATAAACTGAAGTCCACAAAGGTGTCCAGGGCTGAAAATGATGTTTAAACATGAAACCTTTAATATTAGGAACTTCTTGTGACTTCTTTTCTCTCCCATTGTTGTCTTTCCTCCCTCCCGCCAAAGTGTTACTGAACCTGATGGAGGGCTCTGAAACAAATGCTGTAAAACCCCACAAAATAAGGCTAAACTTCTAAAAATGCTTACCTGCTTACTTTTGTTGAAAACAGTAAGAGGCAAGCCCCTAATCCTTGTTAAAAGTATGTTCTGCAACATAAGGTAAATGCAGCAGCCAGCTTGCCATCAGGAGGGGAGAGTAGAAGCACGCTTCTGGAGTTTAAGCAAAACAGCCCCAACCCCAAAGTATTCCACATGAGTAAGGACGAAGAGGACTAGGATTATTTCATTCCTCCCAATTCTTGAACCTCCTCCTCCTTTCCCCAACCAACAAAACAGTGTGAGCCAAGGCATAAGGGCATTAGATCTTATGTTGAGAGGTGAGTTGTTTTTCCAGTGCCTTAAATGATACAAAATATGAAAAGTATGCCTTTCCTGTTTTTTTTATCTGAAAAAAGGAATAATTACTTTTCTTTACAAAGAATAAGAAGATCTGAACAAGGAAAATGATATGTACAAGAGTTAAGTGTTATGTTTTAATTTGGTGACTGTTATTGCTTTCAGAGAAATATTACAGTTTCTGAAAGGCATTTTAAGAGTGAATTCAATATATTGTGATCCTTATGTCAGTAAACGTTGCTGGCTGCTTTCCAAACGTAGAAGAATGCATAATCCCTGCTCCAAGGTTTTATACCTTGTCTCAAAACTTCCCACCCATTCCTATGTGAAATAGAGTCTGCTGCTGTCTCTTTTTTTGTTTTACAATTTTACTTGGAGGCCACAAACAAGATCAATAGCTACTCTCCTTTCTTTCCCCTTGTGCCAGGCACTGTACGTATGGATGATGGGAGACACGGTTTCTGCTCTAAAGAACTCAATCTTTCATTTTCTTTTTATGTTTTGACTCTTTATTTCTTCCACATTATAAGTGGGAACTGACACACGCAAATTGTGTGTGTTCCCCCCCCCCCCCCCCCCCAGGTCATGTAGGAAGTCTTCTGCAACTGATGACAGATCTTTTATATTCTGATTATTTAGACTTAATTGGTTAATCAATTGGAGCATCTGTCATACAAGGAGTGGCTGAGTAAACTGGGATTGTTTAACCTGGAGAAGAGAAAACTCAAGGGGGGAAAATCTTATCGGTGTATATAAATAGCTGAGCGGAGGGGGTAAAGAAGACAGACCCAGGCTCTTCTTGGTGGAGCCCAGTGACAGAATGAGAGGCAATGGGCGCAAATTGAAATGCCTGAAGTTCCACTTAAGTGTTTAAAAAAATATTTTTACACTGAAGGTGGTCAGACACTGGAACAGGTTGCCCAGAGGGGTTGTGGTGTCTCTATCCTTGGAGATGTTCAAAATCTGACTGGATGTGGTCCTGACCAACTTGCTCTAGTTGACCCTGCTTTGAGCAGGGGCTTTGGACTAGTTGACCTCCAGAAGTCCCTGCCAACCTCGATAATTCTGCAAATGAATTCACTACTACTTCTGTAGCTTTTGATGTTTCTTATATTTGCGTCATCCTGTTTTGGAGTGATGAGTCATTGGAGTCATTTCCTTTTCTTTAGGAAGAACGGTAAGTTCAACTTACCTTTCTTTCTTAGATAAAATTAATTCAATGATCAAGCGGAGTGAAATAGTTTTGGTTCTTCAGGCCAACCAGGAGCTAATGCACAAGGAGTCAAAGCAAAGTCTCCAAGACTGTGAATGATGCTATGGCAAAGATCTGCAAGCAAATTGTAGATGTGTGTCTTCAATTAATTGTTTCAAAGAACTAGTACTGTATAGTCTTTTGTGAGTTCTCTATCAATGTTGGCTCTTCACAGACTCTGCTGCTCAGCAGCAAGTGCCATAATGCATTAAAATCCCATTTATTCGGAGGCGTGAGTAGTTGAACAAGAGTTAGTGAGCAGATTTGTGCAGGTAATATGAATGTAGATGTTTCTTCAAAAGACTTAAGGACTCCCTCTTTGCTTCCTTACCGTACGTCAGCTTGTTTCCAAATTTATATGCCTATCTCATGCATGTGGATTCAGTTTATAGCTCTCTTCTTGCAGATCATTTACAACACTTTTTACAGATGATGTTGACAAGAGCTCAGAGGTTGTTCACTGTTCTGAACAATCAGCTGAGACATCTGTGCCTGACCTATGTTACCAATTGCAAATCACTTTTTTTGCACTAGCATCCATAAAATTGTCATGCTTATCTGTTTTTTCCTTGCTGCTAATTAATGTAGGAGTTTTATGTAAATCTTACTGTAAATTAATTGTTCACAGTGTGGAATCCTTTAGTATCCTATGCACTGGAACTGACTAGATAACTGCATCCGTATACTTCAGGGCTAGCAGAGTTGATCTGTAGCTTTTGGAAAAACTGTGGTTTTGGCAGGGCTATTTTCTTGTTTGGCTTCCCACGTGATGGATGTGAGCCTTCTTTGTCTCTCTTGTTGTTATAAAATATGCATCAGCTGGTAGCAGACAGCTTGGATTCTTTCACCAAACCATCTGTGATAATTATCCTTCTCACTGTAAATTACTGGTGTGTATAGGTGTGTATTTCACATCTAGACAACATATTTAAAATTGGAACATTAAGCGCACGCAATATAGCTTGACTGTTTCCTCCCCCACCACTCCCATCTTGACTGATGCAGTGACTACTTTGATGTTTACAGGACAAGTGACGTTTAGAAAGTTGAGAGTTTCATCTTTTTTAGTAACAGCTGAATTTTTGTGTTTGTCATAGGCAGGAACTTTGATCTTTGTGTCATATGTAGGACTGATTTCCATAGGAGAAAGTATTTAAGGGAGGCTCTGCAAGTATTTGGTAGTTGCTTACTGTTGCTGCCCTGGGAACTCAATGTAGTTAGGTTAACACTGAATTGGAATCTTGCTCCTAATTAGCTATTTGGACCTCTTCCCATCCCTCCTGTGTCCTGCTTGCTTTTCTCATCTACATCTTAGATTTTGTGCTTTTGTTCTTTTTTAAGGACTAAATAATTTGAGGGCAGAGGGCTTCTGCTTATGAGATTTATAGTGCCTTGTTCAGTGCAGCCTGATTTACCTTTAAGATTTTCAACAACATAGACTAACATTAATTATATGACAGAGTACTTCATTTAGTATTTATTATTGTAGCTATATTTACACAAACACACCTATTTCCTGCCTATTTCACAGAGGACAAGAATAGAAGTGGGGCTGACAAACTGACATCCCCACTGATAGCAATTAAGATCTTGACATATCATGGAAAGTAAATCTCATTGTAGTGTTGTCTATGAGATCTGACACCTCCCACCCTCGCATTCCCCCTCCCCTGAAATTGCAGGCACCAGGCAATTGTACAGGATTTGAACCGTGTTGTTGCTTCCTGAATTTGATTATTTGGTCTCAGATAAAGCAGAGTTGTACCCTGTTGCAATTTATGTTTTGGCACTGTCCTGTGCCATCCAGTTGAAGTTTGTTGTTAGAACTCTCTCCATGCAGTTTGTTCTGGAGTGAGTTCTTTGTAGGAACTTCTGTGCCAAAACAATGGCTCATATCTGAGGTTGATAACAATCTTTGACTTGAGAAAGCTGCTATGATTTTTGCACTAGCTAAGGATCAAGCCTATTGTTTGTACAGATCTTCTCTTTTCATTAGCACAGAATTTTAATTTTGCTGTAGGCAGCACTAGATGTGATGTGCCAACTTCCCCTCCTTGCTTTAGCTTTGGCCAAGCACATCAAATCACAAAACACCATACAAATGTACTGGTTCACGATACTGAGCATCAGCGTGGGCCCTAATCAGCTATTTTCAACTGCTTTTTTTTTTTTTTTTTTTGCTCTGGACATTATGTTCTCCTTCCCTTTTCTTTCACATTCATTTACACAATCCTGTAACCAGCCTGCACTCCAGGGGAGCTGATGAAGAGTTTCTTTTTGAAGTCTTTCAGTTCTCTTCTGCACTTTAACCAGCAGGTGATTATCCTGACTGGATGCCATGGTTATAATTTCCCTTGCCAGCTAGAAGCCCTGAAAAAAATAGCTGTGTATGTATTTCTACAAGAGCAGATTTCACTTTTTACAGGACAATGAGCTATCCAGCTTTATGCTGTCTAAGAAAAGAATAGTAATTTTGATGTCATATGAGTCCCAACTTGACTTGTGCACAAGTACTCCAAGCTCATTGGCACAGGCACGAAAATGCAATTAATAGATCTGGTGTGTCAGTGGCAGCATTCTCCCCTTGCTGTGACTCAGATGCTGTAGTTCGGGTTATTGTGGCTGGTACTTTGTGGCCTAAGAAACCCAGTCTTGAATACTCTTTTCAGTAGGCTGCTGGCTTACCTGCAGCTTTGGGAGCAGACCAGCAATACTGTCGAACAAGTTCACCTATTTAAAAGAGCTTCTATGGTGGGTTGTGGTTTTTTAATTTTATTGTTATTATTATTATTTCTTTCCCAAGTGGTTGGTGCTTAGATCTACAGGGGCATTTGGTCTATGGCACGTGTTTTTTGGTGGGGCCAGAGATCAGGTGAGTGAACATGAAGCAACAGGCAGGTATAGTTGCTTGCTTTTATTCCATGGATGAGCAGATTATAGGTGAGGTGACAGCAAGACATGAGAGTTTTGGGGCCTAGCCAACAATTCTCACCTTGCTGACTTTTGCTGAAGATGACTGCAAGGTTTCTTGCTTTCATAAGAGAAAGCCTGTCA